ACATATATAACGTGGTCATATTAAATGATCGTATACAGAAGTTAGGAGTATTTTGGAAAAGATAAATAAATGTTATTCTGTCATTCTCTTTCCTACACAAACATCACATCTGACTATTCATTTAAGGCAAAGTCTACAGAATCATATAATGCTCGGGTTAACACGATTATGTACATCAATAACGGAAATTTCCAAGTGGCATTGTCTCAGTACGGGAAGTTATACATGTATCGTAAAGGGACTGAACATAACGGAATAAGGTTCTCGTGTGAACACTTTCTTAAAGAAAAACGGACATACAGGGGAAAACGAAAAGAAAAAAACGTTATAGATATAAAAATTCAACTTTTGACAATAAAGTATCGTGTACCTGTTTTCAGTTAAATTTCTCATTCATCTGCACTCTTAATTATTATTTGTACGTACATTCTACCGCGTGAAAAGCACATTAAGGGAGGCAACCCTTTTAACTTTATTATGCCGGCTCGACACGGTATTACGTTAGGATTTTACTGAGAAACAACCTAAAACTACGAATCCATTAAAAAATTTAATCGAAGCTTGGCTTCCAGCTTTCTACAATTTAGTTTCTCTATGAAACCAAAGACTGCACATTAACCACACTATAGGAAACCTCTTTCATAGTTGTACATATTGTTCTACACATAGGTCAAGGACACGTCTTATATAGAAACAAATACGCACACCTTTATACCTTATTAAAGCCTAAACCTTAAATATGTGGCATGTGGTATTGCCTTGTTGACCACTTTAAAATGTTGTTCATGTATCTACATCATATCCATTTGTTTAAACTTGTTCACATACTAAGATGAAGTGGACATAATTTTATTAAAATGCGTATGGAAAATATGTTTAAGTCTTATTGATTTAAACTTCAATGCCTCCAACTTTAATATTGAATATGTACTAATGCCTTGAGAACTTGTACATATCAAATGTTAATCATGCCCCATTAATCTAAATTCGGCAACACCCAAGAGAGTTCTTCAGTGACATATTCCTGTATAGGACTTGTATATGTCACTCATTCCAATACTAAATAACATATTACAACTTAACTTCGTATAAGGAGACATCTTTATAATTGCTACCTATCAAACATTTTTGGTCAAGGTCAACAGGTGGATATGATGTAAATTGTGATAATGATGTTACAGTGATTGGGTTAATGATAGTTGTTATGTTGTTGATGATGGTTATGATGCTGCTGCTGCTGCTGCTGCTGCTGCTGCTGATGATGATGAGGGTGACGGTTAGAACTATTGCAATGGTGATGATGATGATGATGATAATGATCATTATTATGTTGGAAATAATATTAAGTAGAAGAAGAAGAAGATGATGATGATGATAATGATGATAATGATGATGACGATCTGTAATGTTTGGTTTAAATCCCACCATTGTTTGTCTTGTACCCATGTAAAGTTTGCTTAAACTCCCAGCAGTAGTTGGACATGTGAAGGCCGGACAAGATTTTTCTTTTTTAGCTTTGGCGGCAATGTTGTGCAGCGAAGCTGAACGGTAATGTGCAATGTGCACAATTAGGGATGGTAGCGATAACTCCTGTAAGTTTGGCTGTAACCCCACTAGTAGTTTGACCTGTAAAGGCCGGACAAGATTTTTCTATTTTTAGCTCTGGCGGCTATTTTGTACAGCAAAGCTGAACTCGCAGTGACCTGCACAACTAGGGATGGTACTGATAACTCCTGTAAAGTTTAATTGAAATCTTAACGGGACAGAAATAATGTGGCTACTCTATTGTTCTCTCTATTGTTCTTTTAAGCCACACAAATCAAAATAGCCGCATAAAAGCATTAGGGAATGAATGACATCAAAGAGAAAGAACAGTTACTTATTATCCCTCTAGCCACATTATTACTGTCCCGTGAGAGCGGACGGACGGTCGGACGGACGGACAGATAGACGACGAAGCAAAAGCAATATGTCTCAAACATACTTATTGTAAGAAATAACAATAGGGTTATTGCATATCTATACATAATTATGTTATTAAGAGTTTATTGTTAGATGCCTCTTTTCATTGAATGGCACTTACATTTAATCAGGGTTGTTTATATTTCTGATCCTTAAAGATCGTTCAGCACGACATTATTGTTGTGCTTGTGGTATTTTAGGTCTTTCTATTTGGCTATTTTTCGTTGGGTGGTTCCGGTAATCCTCACTTGAATACTGTTGAATCACCCTAAGGATATATATCCTGCTTTTCAAACTTGTCTTTTGACGTCATATCTGTGAAAACGCAGGCTTCATAACCTCTGATCCCCTTTCAAAATTCCATTTTATTTAGTTCCGCCCATTGTTTTCTCGTTTAGGGCACACGCTTTTTATTACTTGGGGACCATACGCCGCTTTTTATGAAATGGCACGGAAGTGTCACATTGAAGGTTCCATGATAACCGACGTATGAACACATCTGCGGATGTTTCCAAATTCAAAATTTTACTATGTCATGTTTAAATGTTGAATTCTGCTTAAGCCGGTGCTAGGGGGCGTGGACAGTAACTTGCACTTTCCAGTACCGTCCATGAACAGGCTCAATCAAACCGAGCCTGCAACATTTTCAATTTTGCCGTGTTGGGCTTTCTTTAGGGATTCCGTATTTATCTATTTCATATCCTCTGATCCCCTTGCAATATTCCACTTTATTTAGTCCCGCCTATTGTTTTCTCGTTTAGGGCAAACACATTTTCTACTTAGGGACCATATGCCGCTTTTCATGGAATGGCACTTACGTGTCACATTGAAGATTCCATGATAACCGTCACATGAACACATCTACGGATGTTTCAAAATTCCAAATTTTACCATTTTATGTTAAATGTTGGATACTGCTTAAGCCGGTTCTAGGGGACGTGGACGGTAACTTGCACTAAACAGTACCTTCCACGATCAGGCCCAATCAAACCGAGTCTTCATCATTTTCAATTTTGACGTGTTTAGCTTTCTCTAGGGATTCTTATTTCCAATGGAAAACTTTTATGTAATTGACATGACAAATTTTTGCCATGGACATGCAATACAAACATAACAAAAGCACCAAGAAAATGTCGTAGGATAAGTTTTAGAATGTTTTGTGTTTTTTTAGCTCACCTGTCACAAAGTGACAGGGTGAGCTTTTGTGATCGCTTTTCGTCCGGCGTCCGTCCGTCGTCCGTCCGTCCGTTAACTTTTACTTAAAACGACATCTCCTCATAAACCGCTGTGTCAATTTCATCCAAACTTCACAGGAATGTTCCTTTGGAAGTCAACTTAAAAATTGTTTAAAGAATTTAATTCCATGCAGAACTCTGGTTGCTATGGCAGCCGAAAGAAAAAAACTTCTTTTAAAAAAACGGAAGAGCTAGAGCTTAAGTATTTGGCATGAAATATCGTCTAGTCAGTGTCTACCAAGTTTATTCAAACAAAAGTCATGGGATCAAAATTGGCCACGCCCCGGGGTCATTGATATTCCTTATACATGTATGCATATACTAAACACTTAAAAAATCTTCTTTTAAAGAACCCATAGAGCTAGAACTAAGATATTTAGCATGAAACATCTTCTAATAAGTGTCTACCAAGTTTGTTCAAATAAAAGCCCTGGGATCAAAATTGGCCCCGCCCCAGGGGGTCATTGATTTTCCCTATATGCATATAATTAAAACTTTCTTTTAAAAAACCCAAAAGAGCTAGAGCTAAGATATTTAGCATGAAACATGTTCTAATGGGTGTTTACAAAGTTTGTTCAAATAAGAGTCCTGGGGTCAAAATTGGCCCGCCCCATGGGTCATTGACTTACCTTATATGTGTATAGCAAAAACATAAAAAACTTCTTTGAAAAAAACCAAATAGCTAGAGTTTAGATATTAAGCATGAAACATCTTCTAGTAAGTGTCTACAAAGTTTGTTCAAATAAAAGCCCTGGGGTTGAAACTGGCCCCACCCGAGAGGTGTCATTGTTTTTAACTATATGTGTATAGTAAAAACTTAAAAAATCTTCTTTTAAAAAACCCAATGAGCTAGAGGTTAGATTTTAAGCAGGAAACATCTTTTTGTTGGTGTTTACCAAGTTTGTTCAAATAAAAACCTTTGGGTTAAAATTGGGTGCCGATGTCATTATTTTTCATTATATGTGTGTAGTAAAAACTTAACATCATGAAAATCTTCTAATGGGTGTCTTCCAAGTTTGTTCAAATAAAAGCCCTGGGGTTTTAAACGGCCCCCGCTCCGGGGCCTATATAAAGGTGAGCGACCTCAGGGCCATCTTGGCCCTCTTGTTAAAATAATTGCCATGACAAATTTGCCATGGTAAATGTAGGAAATATCTTGCCATGGTAATATTTTTGCCATGTAAAATTACCGAAATATCAAGGCAAAACACACTTTGCCATGGCAAATGAAAATTTTAAATGCATTTTTTTTTTAAAAAGTAGCAAAGATAGATAAACTAAACATATTAACTTTTAAACCTTTTAGTAAATAAAACTATTTCAGATATATTTTTAAAGCGCGTAAAAATTGGGGTTGAATTTGCCAAAACCGGCCGGGCAATAACAAACCGGCGGCTATTATTTATGAAGTTGAAATCGTGAATTCGTTAGGCTAAAATCACGCAATCGTGAAGTCGAAATCGGGTATTCACGAACTTCAAGATGAAATCCTGAATTCATGAAGTCGATATGTCCTATTGAATTATTCGATTTCGACATGACGTTGTAATAAAGCACTGACATATTCTTAATGAAGTTATAAATGGCGTCATCATAAGTATTGCTAAAGTTGGATTAGTGTTTTCATTATTTTCAGCATTGATAAGAAGCAAATAAAGATATTCGACTTTTTTCTTCTTGCAGAAGCACAAAAACACGTCTCTTAATCAGATTGAAAAAAAGGATACTAAATTAAATGCTGACATAATTTTTCTTTTATATTTTCTCCTGTGTTTTATCTTATAAAACATTGAATAGTTATACCTGTTGTTTGACCATTGAGTCTGAAGTCAAACCCTTGCTTACAGATAGCAGCTATATATTGGTTCTTTGTGCCATGGAACACTCTCTTTTCTCCGATTTTTCTTTCATTTTTCTTTTTCATCATTTTCGATTTCTTCCTTTAATACAGTGAATGCAGAAACATGACAAATAATTATCAATTTGATATACTACTACTTAAATGACGCACAATCTAACATATCTCGGAATTTATTTTATTAATATTAAATTGTTATGTGTCCAAACAAGTCTACTTTATTGTCTAGAATTGAAATTTATACTTAAAAAGTGAGTGCTTCAATTTAGGCTTTCATTTTGTCACCATTTTTATTAGATTGGTTCCCGAGAGTGATTGATTACATTTCGCATCTTAAGATAAAGGATTAAGGTTTATAATTAAAGTGATTTTTAAGTGCAAGGTCTTTTTATTAATAAGTAAGAATCACTCCATTAGAAGAAAACCTCATGCCAAATAACTGACTACACATACGTATTGATCAACGGAAAGATGTTTGGCATTTTATTTTAAAGGAAAATATAACTTGATTGAATTTTAAAATCAACATACATCATGTAGTTCTCCCACAGATCACCATTTTCAATCCTGTCTATTGATTTAATATGAGCGTTCTCTAAACTTTGAAGGAACAATGATTCTATTTCTCCATACTCTGAGTCTGATGTTTTCAGCTGTAATGAGATAAATGGTCAAAGTATTTAATTGATGGTTTAAGACAAAATGTGTAAGAAGATGTTAGATAATAATCGATTTGGATGTTGTTTTGTTTTTTATAAAAAACGCAATTCTTCTAAGAAGGCACGCAAAAAGTCAAAGTATACATAGCCTTTAGAACAGTTTTTTTCACTAGAAATTGAAATACTTGCGGTAGGGCAAGCAACATCAATAAAAGCATTTTGGTATTTGTCAGGTGCATGTGCAGTTCGATTTAAATAACAATTAAAGTGATTCTAATGGTATTGGTTGTTATCTATAAAGTGTTTGTTAAAAGAAGTACTTTAAAATGTCGAAGCCGCATGCATAATACTTTCCTTTACAATCAAAATATGTTCCGAAAGATCTTTCCACTTTGGTATGCTCCAGTTTGCCGGTGCCTTTATTTCTTTAATCTCTGTATTGTCAGCATGCTTTACTAATCTCAGACTTTAGAAAATAAAAAAAGTATCTCTTAAAAGATAAGCGGGCGTGGTACTGCTTTTACTTGCATTGGCTCTTTCGAAGTTTTGAAATACCATTTTTAGATCTAAGAAACACTGTTAAGTATGTTCGAAATCGAATTGTTGTGTTTCTGTTAGTTTTATGTACACATATGTATAACTATGCGGTATAAATGTGCAAAAATACATCGAATTTTTTAAAATTATATGAAATGATCAATCAATAAACATATATATCATTTACACGGAACTTCATCTACTGAGTGTATCAGATAAGCTTGGGACTTTTTTAATTGGTCTTTTTTTTTGTATGCACATGTATTTCCGGGATCGTGAACGTTGTTGGCAATATCGCCAGTTTGGACAAAACTTGCAAAATGTCATCTATATGAATCAAAAAAGCTATTCAGGAACATTTTTAATGCAGTTCACAATTATCAAATATCCGAGAAATTTACCTTAAAGATTTGTTTTTACGCTCCTTTTAAAATAGATTATTTTAAAATTTAGATGTGTAAATGTTTAAGAAATCTCCTTAAAGTTTAATATATATCATTATTATACTTATTTTAGAATGACCAATGAGATTCCCTTATTTCAATTTGTAATTCAGTTTGCAATTTTGACCAAAAAAAAATCCTACTTATATCCAAATTTTAAAGGAAGTCGTGCCGTTCTCAGACAGACTTTGTCCGAAAAAAAACAAACAAAAAAAGCAACAAAAAAAACAACAACAAAAAACACTCAAACCAGTAAAAGCAGTAAACTGTATTCAGAATGTACGATTTTAATTATAAAAAAAACAAATGATTCAATTAAGACAATTTTACAGTACTGACAATTTGCCTCAATTTGTGGCCATAAAATAATTAACATGTGAATTTTATTACCTCCCTTTAATAAATGGCATTAACCAGTTTGTAAGGATTATGCTTAATGTCCGTAATATTATAATTTTTACAGAATTACCATATTGTGTTTGCCGGGAAAACGTTATCATTTAACGTAACCGGTTTTTTTCATGACGTTACGTCATTTGTTTATATGTTTATTGTTTATTAAAGTTTCGGCTGAAAATATGCGAAGAAAGCATAGAAAGCGCTACCGAATATACAAAGAGTTTATTGTTTCTAAAACATTATCATTTTATCTATATATCAAATGTATATATATATTGAAAGCGCTACCGAATTTACATAGAGTTTGTTATTTGTTGTTAAACATTTTAATTATATATATATATATATATATATATATATATATATATATATATATATATATATATATATATATATATATATATATAAAGAAAATGGTACATTATGCGCAATTGGAACCTACTGGTTCAATTCAAAATCAAGCCTATTGATGAATTCTGGCCGTCTGCACAATTTCCTTGTTGTTTCGCATGTAATATTGCGCTGTATCATTTCGCGAAATTCGACGATATAGACAAATGGTTGTGTCCCTGTTGTCTCAAATATTGCTTTACCGGTTGGATCGGAGACAAAAGCTTTTTCTAACTCCTTGCTCTTTATTTCAGCCCTATTTCCTCCATAGCCATCCTGTTTCATGTAAAACAAAAGAAAGATCAACACTTGACAGCGTAAACGCTACGCAACCTAAACGCATTAGCAGTGTGAGTGGCAGTTTTAATAAAGATGCAGATTTAGTGTTGAAATATATACATAGATCAACTTACGAACATATGTCGAAACTTTTCAAATAATAATTGAACTATCAATGATTTCGATATTACTAGAGCTAACGTCTGTTTATACTATACTTACATCAATTCTTTTAACATAATTCAATAAAATACCATAAACGTTATCATAGCTGTCATAAACACATTTAAGTTTTTCTCTAACAGTATCATCATATGATACGTTTATAAATATAAGTATTAAAGAAGATATTATGTCTTTTATGATCAAAGACTGAATAACATAATGTTCTATATGTAATACCAAATCTCCAAACTTTATCCATACGTCTGAGGAATTTTTCCAATACCATAACCAGTTTGTTCTCCATGTTTGGTTGTCATGGTTTATTGATGACGGGGTTGATAGTCTTTTTACTTCAATATGTTCTCCCTTAATATTTGTGCCGCTCATTTTTTTAAAACATATGGTAGCTCTACAAAAATAATGATAATTTGAAACTGTTTTATTTTATCAACATAATAATACCGCACTTAAAGCATGCACCTTAATTAAAGTAAGCATTTAATTGCTCGAGAAAAAAAATCTTTTTAACGTCTGCATTAAAGTCATACCCATGATAGTCGGTGTGCTTCTCATTATTTGGATCACAAAAAGCCCGTTCTATACCGTCATTTTCATTTTCTCCAAAATTTGTCCAGGTTCCTTTCCCAATTCCTCTTTTCATCCATTGCCACTGATACGGCAAATCAGAATGCACATTCAAACATTCAGAGCCCCAACTACATCTTCCACGCAAATGATACTGGCATATCTCGTCTGAATAAATTCAAATTTGACTTTCGTTAGAGAGATAATTGTATTCATTTTTATATCATGATAGTAGAAATATAATAATTAATTAAATACAAATTAGCACAAGCAAGTCACAATTAACATTACTTAATATAACTATTTTACTGTGCAGTGTGTGTAATTCAAGTAATCACAAGTTTTTTAGGGGAAGAATATAATTTTCATACTAGGAGGTAAATTGTAGATAATGTTAATTTTACCGACAGTCATCTATCAATATAAATAGTTAAAAGAACTTAAGGCTTATGTGCTTTCTAATTGTACAATTTCACAGGGAAGGAAGCGATCTGTTTTAAAAGAATTCAATGTGAAGATCGTCTATTTTGTGAAAACCTAGTATTTCCAATATATGATGCTCATGTCATAATATACATCATAGTTTGACTTAATTGTGACTTATAGAGAGACCAGTTCTAACAAACTGTTAAAAATAATGATTGTATTATCGTATATTGATGAATTTTCTTTGGTTTAAAGCATTAAATTTTAAAGAAATATTTTTTGTAGTTAACCTTATTTAAAGTTATAATTAAAACAAGGGAAATTACGTTTTTAAACGTTTAAAAACGGTACCTATGTACCTATACCATTTGTTTATGCTATGCGCGTAAGCTGTCAATTATCGATAACACTCCGCTCCCTGTTGAGTCATCAATCAGGGAAATAGTTCCATATATCCGTGAACTACAGGTTTTTTTTGTAATTAGTCGATACTACTCGTAAAACATGTACATTTACATTATAAATACTGTACATATTTTATAAATACATGTATCTCAATGTTATATCGTCTACCTTTTATTTTGGCCTTTTTTTATAAATTAAGAAATTGTCGGCCAAGATGTAAAATCAATAATTTAGAATAGCGGCAAATCACAAAACCATGAGGATGGTTAAAACCATGTAGCTGCTAAAATGTCCATAATGTGTGAAATTATAATTTTTGTTTGTCCCGTAATCTGATCGACATTACATTCAGTTTATCGACTTTTGTCCGGATTCAAGAGCTTGCTGTACATTCAACCTCGTTTCTAAATGACAACATCTTTTATGTGAAAGCTTATATGACCGGTGGTCAGGTGTCCGTGACAAATTTCTAAAATATTTTCACGATAGTCTGCGAATGATTATTTCTTTATCAATCAATAAAGAAAATATGAAAAACATACTTTCAGTGAATGCTTTGAATAAAGTGTTCGCCAGTAAATCGAACACAGTACTAATAAACCTGCGACGAAATATGAAATTTATTGTCTTCATACGACATAGATGAATAATCATGATAAAAGAAGTCAAGTAGGTTAGATCATATTGATCGACTTATACCTTTTATTTCTATTAAAATATGCCAATCATTTATATGAATTGGTCGAACAAAAATATATATTATCCCGTTCTCATTTGTACATCGTACCACGGACGTTTTTTAGCCTGTCAGGAGCTCAGTTTTTTCGTAATTTTAATTCATATTTTAACGTTATTTTATACACGACCGTGCCAGTTTGCTCAATCAGCGACTCAATTATGTTTAATTACGTAATATGTATGGTGAAAAAAGTCGCATAAAATGTTTGACGTTTTATTGTTTTTATTTATTTTTTTTTGAGAAAAGATAGAAAGAATCTGAGACACAGTTCCCCAGATATTATAATAATGTCTATATTCCAAAAGTTTGATTACAAAAAAGTAAAATAAAATACTTTGATATGATGATTTAAAATTATAGATTTTTTGTTCAAAATTAACTATTTACAATAGCATTTTATTAAATATGATATTTTTTATGAAGATCAAAGACATTAAAATTTAAATAAATAACAATTATTACTAAAATAGGTTGGTTTAAACGACATTTATGGTAGTACCAAGGAAAGTGTCTGTTGTCGCCTTAAAAAGTTTATATATTTTATTTTTGCTAGAGCTATCACCTGTATTTTTTTTTGGGGGGGGGGGGATAAAAAAATTAAAAAGTTAAGTTATCGAAACTAATCCTTGCTATATGACCAGCTTTTAATCTTTTATCAGTTTTACAATTTACTTCCTTTTCAATTTTAACACTTTAATCAAAGACTTCATGTCTGTGACATATTGTTATTCTCATGTTTTATTAATGAGACAATAATACCATATTGGTGTAAGTGAATACCTCAAACATACCCTTTTTAATATACATAAACGGTCTTAAAATTAGGTCATCTATTGTCTCAGCGCAATTGCATGACTAATAGTCATCTTGAAGCATGAAAGGCCTAGAAGGGTAAACAGCCGATGTAATTTGTGTAAGTAAAATAAAATTTGTTGCTGTTTACAGACTTTTAAATTATTTTTGAATGATTATTCATTAATATTTTTTTAATCGAACATAAATCGAACATAAATTGTAACGGCACTGCAATAGAAGCGTCCACATCCATCAAATATCTTGGGGTAACTATTGATCTTTGGTTCCTTTGTCCTT